CATATGAAAGCATTCCCATATTCAAATTTGGGATATCATGCTATAAGCTATTTCTAGTTTCGTTCGACTTGCTTTTATTCCTCTCTGATTGTTTTTATCAATAAACGGCTAATTTTACATCTCGTACCTTTTCGGCATGCCTTTTTTTTCTCGTTAAGGGAAAGTTCTTTTCAGAGAGTAATAATTTCTCTCGGAGAATTTCATTTTCAGATATTCTTTATCAAGATGCAAAAGGCTTAACACCTAAACGGCACGGAGAATGAAATTGGTCTATATTTTGCTTTCATTTCGCACTAATATCCTTGGGGAAAGTATTAATCAACTTTTTCCCTCAGAGATATTTGGGCCACTTCATCTTTATAAAGGTAATCCATTTTGGCTGCTCAATAATAGGTCAGGTTAGGGATCGTTTCTTCCAGCTTAGATTATGTACTTCAGTAGAAACTTTGGCTGTTGCTTGGAAAATACATGGATATAGCCAAGTAACTACTACTGTCATGAGAAATGCTATGATGTTAAATCCTCAAGAAGAATAATCAATGATTTCAGGCTTATATGAAATATATTATCTATATTAAAGGTTTATATACTAGAGTCATCGAACTACTACGTATTACATCTTTTTGCCAAATAATTTTGTTGAGGAATAATGTTAAATTATGACATCAAATAGATGTTAATTTTCTTCTTCTTCTTCTTCTTCTTCTTCTTCTTCTTCTATTATTATTATTATTATTTCCTTTGATTTCTATTGTATACTCATTTCCTTCTAGTTCCCAACGAGGAACATAAAGCAGAAATAGCATCATGATATTTTTCACTGAAGACTTGTATATGAAATAAAAATACAACTTAAAAAAGCAAATTTTCCATAGATAAAACCCACGTAAAATGTGAGATGTGCATATAACCACAATGTTTGCATTTCTTTAAGGCATCGGAAACCAAGAATCTCTTCAATAGGTCAACCAGAACCTCTTCCAATCAAACCCAGGGACCTAACCACAACTGGAATTATTGATGTCTTTATGTGCCGCAATTTTAGATTCCCATTTCAAGATCCATGTATTACGAAGATCTTAAAATTCTATTACCGTCTGCAGAAATTGCCAAGACAATAAAAAAGCACATTCTGTTTTTGTGGTCTGGGGGATTCGCTTTGATTATTCTGTTTCCGTGCATTGTAAGTCCCATTAATTTGCTACAGGTCCAATGTCTGCAACCGGGTCCGGGTGATGTTCATTTCTTGCAACTTATGTCCCATAAAAGTTACAGATTTTCCAGTGCAGATATTTCTTTACTATGTCATGTTGAGTTGGTATTCGATGAATGCATCTTGATGCAAGATGGTCAACTGTTTCTGGATATTAAACACTGAATCTACATTTGGGGTCAACACAATTTTTCAGTATGTTCATTTGTTAGATTATTATTATTATTATTATTAATTTATTATTGTTATGTGAGAGTACAGAACACAATAAAGGGGACACTAGACTTCATATATATGAAAACAGATATGCCGATCATGACACCTTGTTTAATAAATGTATGCAAAGCATATGTATCACAACCAAATGTGTGGCGATTTGGAGTCGGCTTTTAATAAGAACACCGCACAATCTTGCCTGGGGTTCCCAATTAGATATACCTTCAGCCTGTTAACCTATTCTGCTCAGGTCTCCGATTAATGATGTTCTCAAGTATGAAGATATGACCCTCAAGTCGTCTTGGACTCGTCATTCTTCAGAAATAAAATCAACCTTCTTCATTATTATTATTATTATTATATGAGAAATCATAGCGCCAATAATGACATTCGAGTACCAATATACAAACCCTAATATTCCAATTATTATACCTAGTACATGCAGTACAACCAAACATGGATGGTATGGCGAGAGATTTTTGAGAATCTTTCAAGTGGAGCACAGTTAAAATGAAATGTTTTCACAATATCTGTAAAACCGAAATTGCATTGGGGTGTCTTATTTTTACATAAATATTCTACACACTCATACCCACTGAGGATGCTCCCCACTAATTATACTCAGAAATAGTGATACAGAGTCTATCAGCCCTTAGCGTACGTGCCCAACAGGTTAAATTCAGGCAGTGGGCAAGTATATTTGTGGTACTGAATGGCATATTAGTTGTAGTCCCAATTAAATCACCAAGACAAAACATGTACTTTTTAACACCTCCAATCAATTAAGAAGCTCAGAAGCTATGGATACCATGCAACCTGCTTATTATTATTATTATTATTATTACCTTTGTATACTCATTTTCCTCCGGATCCCAACTAGAGACGTAAGGTCAGAAATGTCATCATGACATTTTCCACTGTACATTTTCTGAGGAAAAAAAGTCACATACATATTACATAGATAAAGCCCTTTGTAAAGTGTGGGCTGCACTTGTGGGTACATTGTTTTGTTTCATGAAAGCTTTAGCTACCAGAAATCCGTTCAATGAGTCTATCGGACACTGTTTCTAATCAATCCAAGGTCTCCAACTGGAATTGTTGATGTCCTCAGGTGCCACATTTTTGAGATTTCGATTTCAAGGTACTTGTATTTTGATAAATTTTTGAAGATCTTCAAAGATACATTACAATCTCTATTTGGGATCAACAGTATGTTTCAGTATGTGTGTTTAGTAATTTCTACTTAGCAAACATTTGTCCTGGGCATCAAGAATAAACCTTCGGTTTCAGCTTTTAACTCTGCACTATTTACCAACTGATGGCTACAGACTTTTTCTACATTAGCTTGTTTGGTATGGGCAGAGTATTGACCGTGAAGAGGATTAACTTACCTTCGTTTCTGCGTCTGGTACATTGCATTTGCTTTTGCTATCTTTTTTTCGGTTCTTCACCGCTGCAATAAGTGTATTATCGTTTATTTACACTTCTTCCCACACTTGAAATTCTCTTTTAATTTGTTGGCTTTCTTTATTACTGAATAAATTCTTATTTATTTCATGTACTTTGACACAGATCATCCTCCAGTTTTCTACAACTTCCAGGTATCTTTGAACATCAGTTGTTGTGGTTTTGTAAAACATTTCTAGTTGAAGTAATCCCCTAACTCCTTCGAATCTGGAAACATACAGACTATCAACATCAAACCTTAGGATGATGCATACGCTGACAAATGGGAAGCTTTCACATTTTGCTATCCTTTCGCTTAATAACAGCTATGGTCTAGTTAAGGATGTTGAAACTGTATTGCACCACAGGGACTGCCAGCATTTTTATTGCTGATAATCTGTTTTGTGAATTCAAATCTGTTATGGTCCGGTTCCTTGTACCACGGTGATAGTCCAAGGTAGAAACAATAAAGAAGAACTCGAACACAGGTATGGAATAACACAGATATATTACAAACAGGAATAAATACAGAGAAGTAAAAGTGTTAGTATGAACAGTCAGGATTAGTAGAGAGAACAATGTAGTCTCGACCAGTATCACTATTCCAATGTCTTGCAGTAATTGTCTGAACGCGACTCTGTTCGGACTGCCTCTGATTCGACTCTTAACTCGACCTTAACTAATGACTGACGATAATCAGTCCCCCCACCATTGTGGTAGCATGTGCCACAAGGTCGGTTCATCCCGTCCGTAGGAAGAGAGTTCAACCGAGCAGCCGGTTCAAAAGTGAACGACTGACTCACCATATTGAGTCCCCCCACACTGGGGCAATATGTGACACAAGGTCGGTTGTTTTATTGTGGGTATTCCCAAGCCCGTGGGCTCGGCCCAAAAAATGCCCGTTTGGGTATAAACGGGTTCAGGGCCGGAGTTTACCTCCCGAAGGAGACTCCGCCCTTCGGCGTAGCCTCCTTCGGGTTCCTCTCCGTCCGTAGACAGAGAGTTGAAACGATCCGTCAGTCGAGAAAGCGACTGACTCACGATATTGAGTCACCCCCCACGAGGGTGTCATGTGGCACAAGGCCTTTTTAACGTGGGCATTCCCGAGCCATTAGGCTCGGCCAAAAAATAGCCCATTTGAACCCGTATAAACGGGTTCAGGGGCCGTTTATATTTACCTCCCGAAGGAGACTCCGCCCTTCGGCGTAGCCTCCTTCGGGTTCCTCTCCGTCCGTAGACAGAGAGTTGAACCGATCCGTCAGTCGAGAAAGCGACAAAATCAATTATTATTATTATTATTATTATTATTATTATTATTATTATTTATCTGTCTTTTGATAATCTAGCCAGATGGTATGTGCTTACGCTGAAGAACTTACTTAAATCCCACTCTCAATATCCTCGAATTCGTGAACAGTTTCAATTTTTACTTAAAAAATTATTTATTTAATTATTACACTTTCTTTGGTACACTGTCAAGTCTTATAGATATTCAAACGGCTCTAAGCATCATGTCTCACTTCATTATCGAGTCCTTCTTTTTTCAAAATTTTCACTCCTTCAACTTTTGTAAAATTATTTTCACTACAGTCGTATCCTATCCTTTTGCTTTAAATTTATATTCAGCTAACTCACATTTTCCCTGTGTAAGCGCTTCTTTATTCTACATTTCTTATTTCATACGCTGCACAATTGTTTCACACTTTAAATACAAAGACATGTGCAGATGATAGAATGCTGAGCGAAATACAGAGAAACGTGCATACGTCTTTATTTATCTTTGTTACAAAACATTTCATATATGTTCGTCTGGCCTTATGAAAAACACAAGATGTCACTGACGAGACGAAACATTGTCCGTTTCTACCCAAGCGTGTATGATTATTTCAAGTACCATAGTCCTATTATTAGTAGTACATTCAGTATTAATTGATGTATAAGTACTATTTGATAGTCTGTCTAACAAAGTTAAAAAAAAGCAGCTTCGCTTTTACGTCGGCATAATCATGGCGTCTAAGATCAGGTTTTGTTCCAAAGAAGCACTAGGCCATAATGAAATTGTGCGGTCTCTTTAGGATTCGAGACTTTACATATGGAGAAAGGCAGTGACCGCATGATACGATTT